AGCCATCAACCGATACAGATCCCCCTGCATCGATCGATAAAGCCGTCCAACACCCGATCGAGCACCACTTACAGAAGCTATCGATCGATGACAATCCCAGTCCATCGATCGACACACGTGCTCCAGAATTCTGTACCAAGGAAGAATTTGAAGAAACCACAGCCGAGATCTACAAATCAATTGAAGCTTGTGAGAACGAAGATTACTATCTACTGGACAAGTATTGGCTCCCAGTGCAGAATGATGTTAACAGTTTGGACATGAGAGTAGAAGATCTTCAGAAGGAGGTAGCATATATCCAAAAACAGCTCGCTAGCCGACCTGACCCATCGCCATCGATCGACGAAGCACCCAACGCATCGATCGATATACAACCTCCAACCTCCACCGACGATCCACCACACCACGACACCATGCAGCGCACAACAGAACATATCTACAGCATGATTGGCAACCATCAGTACAGCATTGCAAATTTAGAAAGGTGGTTCGAAAAGATCCATGCAGAAGTTTATGGTTTGAAGACTAGTATGACCAGGAGTGAGAAGGCCACAAGAAGCTTTCTAACCTCTTGATTTGATGAAACACAAGAACATGAGGACACTTGTTTACCAACAAGTACCTGCAACCCACCTCACTAGCAACCATACTTCCATAGTCAAGCTAAACTGACTTTAAACACGCTGAGTGGCAGGCAACCCACTGATAGGTATTTTACTAACTTATTTTATTTTATTTTTACTAACTAGTTTCGTTTTTATTTGTTTTTAGGAAGCTAGACACACGATCCATACCCATCGACCGATACGAACCAGTCCATATCGCTCGACATAGACCAACACGCATCGATCGACAATGACGACTGACCATCGATCGATACCCATATCGGTCAGGTATATCGTTTCCAATTTTCGATATCAGTTACACATATTTACTTTTTCTTATGCTCTAACTCCGACTAATTATACACTGAGGACAGTGTATGATTTAAGTCTGGGGGGCGTTGCTTACTGATGCTACTTTACCTCTTTTTGATCTTTTTGATAAAGTTTTCAAAAATTGGTTTTATTGAGTCAAGAAAGGGAAAAAATTTCAAAGTCTTTCTTTTTATCTTACCACTCTTTAGCACCATTCTTAGGTTTATTGATTGCAGAAAGTACTATAGATGCTAAAATGGATCACCGATCACCTATGTCAACACTTTCATGATTGTCTGGAAGAACCAAAGCTGATTTCCAACCTAACCTGACATCTATTGCTTGTCTTGGGGCTTGGTATACAAGGGATTGGAATCCTCTTGCAAGTCCGGAAGGTAAAAATCTCAAAAATTTTGGTTTCCTTCTTTCCTTCCTTCGGCATCCCCAGAAAATAAAAGATTGAGATGATTTCCTGAGAGGCAGAGGGAGAGGTACATTACCTATGACCCCACTATTCTAAATCAAAGGAATGATCACAGCGAGTGAGAGGTACATTACCTATGACCCCACTATTCCATTACAAATTGAGAAAGATCAATAAGATGAACATTAACTGTTCATTGGGATTGATATAAAAGAAAGAAGAGTTGGGATTCAGAGAAGGGGGATAAAGAAAGAAAGGGAACCAGGATGAGAATGCCTGAAAACTTGTTTGAGTTGAATCCAAGTGTTCCTTGATCGATACACCCAAGGTAAAGCCTACACCTTTATTTTTATGCATAAATGAAATCAGTAGAGGGGATAGACATACAAGGAATGTCTAAGTTGATTGGCTAGATGATTAGGTTGCTAAACTAGGATATGGTATAATGTACTTCTGTAGTTGATAGAAGAAGATGTTGTTTGCAACAAAGTAAGAGGTTATGATTTTTAAGTTAAGATTTTGATTGAGTCCCTGCTGTTTTTAAACTTCTTTTCAAGACTAACTTGATGTTTGCTTGAGGACAAGCAAAATGTTAAGTCTGGAGGAGTTGATAGACCATGATTTTGACCCGCTTTTGGTCATATTTTCAATATGTTTTTATTATAAATATCTATGTTTTGGAGTCTATTATGTATGTTTTCAGGTTCAGGAGCATTTTGTGGTAAAGTGATGATTTAGGTGCCTTTGGTGCTTAAAGAAGAGTTTTCCAAGATGACTATGAAGATCCGATATAAGAGATACATATCGATCGATACACACCCTGTGTAATCGATCGATGACGCTTCCGTAGAAGTTGAAGTCGAGATCCTCCATCGATCGATGTACGCAATGTACCATCGATCGATACAGAGCGTGATGAGCAAGATGTATTTGGCCAACTTGAAGCCCAAGTTCTCACCAAATTACAAGACTGCCCCTGATGAGTTTTCTAACCTAATTGTACTCCCTATTTATACCTATGCCTATGATGCTTTAAGAACAAGAAGTTTTGAAAGAGTTTTGTATTCTATTCTATTTAGCAATAAAAGTATTTTATTTTCTTATTGTTTTGCTATGAATCTCTTGGCTATGTCTGAGTAGATTCATATGTTAGATTTGGGGTTCAAATAGTTATGAGGGATTAGCCCCAACTATGGATTGTTGAGTTGTTATATTCATTATCCAAATGAACCCTAATGCTTACTCTAGACTTGCTACCTAGAGTATTGATTGTGGAGTGACTAATCTAATAGTCATCTTCCTGAAATCATTTGGCTAAACTCAGACTCTATTAAGGCACGATGCGATAGCCGGTCTTATAGAAATTCTCGAGTGAACAATAGTTCGATCCGATCTGATACTTAATATCGATCGATGCTCTTCTAGGGTATCGATCGACGATATGCTTATATCGATCGACACTGCGATAGCAACATCGATCGATGCAGTCGGCAATCAGATCAATGGACGAGTCTAACTAGCGACAGCTATAGATTTGTCTAAGGATTGAAGCTCTCATATATTTGCAAGCAATTCGTTAAGACATCCATAGATCTATAATCCTGATTTTCTGAATAGTAACCTTGAATCTAACTATTTTTCTTCATTGTTTTCAAACCAAAACCTATTCTCTTTAGAAACTTACCATTGCTACTTATTTCATTTACTGTTTTAAACCTTTTTCAACCTAGCTTAATCACTTAGGATTATATCTTTTGTGTCTCTAGTTCGATCCCTAAGTACTACGATTGAACCTCTTTTGATGAGAGTAATTCACTCCTTAGGGTAATTTGAGTGATATCAAAATATCTGATCCTGTTTCAGATACATTAGATTTTGGATATTTTAAGGTTTTTATACATCAAAACTGAATCCTTTTGATGATTATGTGACTTGGGAGGACCCAACTAAAAATCCACCCGAAAATTTATAATACCCATTCCTTAATTTTAAAACCCCAAATTCTGATACCCAAAATAAATAATTCATACCTGTATGGGTATCTGAATGTCTACGCCCAACTTATTCTGTAAGCAAATAAAAAAACTCTTTGTTAACCATGTGTTTTAAAAACAAGGATTTGACACACATGAAACAATTTCATTCAAACATGTCAAATTATTATGGTGAATATGTAAAGAAACACTGTCAAAATATTATAATAAAAATAATTAATGAAATAATTAAAAAGAATGAGAAAAAATGTAAAATATATAATAAAACACTTCAAAATATGTAAGTTATGTTTTGTACTTAAATGATTTCGAATTATTTAGAAAATATACAAATGAAGTAATTATAATTAATTAAAATGGAAAGAAACTTTGTAAAATCACTTAAAATAGGTAAATGTTATTTTGTACTTTAGTTCTCATATAATACATTAAGACATAGTTTGTAGTAAATAATTATTTCTGTTATTATGATAAAATATTAATTCTCTTTATTTTTAACATATCTTTTTATATTAAAGCCCGATAGGTACAACCAATACATAATATAACGGTTCCAGAGATTTGTTATGCATTCTTTTACCAAACACAAATTAGTTTTTACCATAGATACGTTGCTAATTTAACTTTGTTTTGCAATGCTGTCGATTGAATAGGGCACAAAATACTAAACTGAAAAGCAAAATTGAAGTATTTTGTAATCAAAATATACAATAATTTTATAAAAAATGGTAGAAGGATTTTTAAAATAATTTTTAAAAGGGATTTTTAAGTTGTTGACGAATATTTAAATATAAAAATGGTTGAAAATTATTATATAAAATTTGAGCAAAAAGTGCTAAATTGAAAAGCAAAATATAAGTATTTTTTAAGAAAAAACATGCAAAATTTATAAACAAATCGTACAACTTAGATATACTTAAGTTATATTTATGCTTTTAGGAGCAAAAAAAGTGCTTTTACTCGAGAAGAAACTTAACAATGATCGAGAAAATATTTTCTGTTTGTACAAGTCAAGTCTAGTTTCCGCAGAAATGATAAGACACCGAATCTATAGCCACATAGCAAACATTTCTAGTAAAATATATTTATATGATTGTGTTTGTAATATCTCATTCATTTTACTATACAATTTAAATTAATATAATATTTATTTGAAACTTAAAATAGTGATAAAAAAATGATCATGTAAGACTTAGTCTTTCTATTTCATAACAATGTTATTTACCCACATTTCACTCGTATTGAAAATGATTGAAATGTATTTATGTTGTTATTAATTAAATCTACATAAACCATAGTATTTGAGATAAATCAATATACTTATAAGATTAATGCATTTTCAAATTAATTTAAACTGAAAATAAGTAGAATGTGTCTTAAAATTCTGAACCGACAGTTTCTATAACAAAAAATGGTAAAGTGACAATCTTTACAAAACAAAGGGAGAGTTAGAAAATAGAAGAGTTAGTAAAATAAGAGGGTGGTGCAACCATTCCATGAGTCACTCTGGCAGTGTATCCCCTAAGATATTTGAACTCCAGTGATTCATCGTTTGGAAAATTCTCTGCCTCGAAACCCTTGTAGAAGAATCTGGAACCGATGAGCTTTTGGTTGCAGAGAGACGCCGTGAAATTCATGTTGTCTTTACACTTACCTTTCCAAGTTCTACGGTAGACCTAATCCCTTATCGTTGTCAGACGTGGAGCAATAAACATGACTGGTGACTGAATGTTATTCATATTAATGAAAAATACTGAATTGGCATATAGGTTAATACATCATCTATTTTCTAGAAACACTTTTGGATCTATTATCATCTATTTTTAATAGCCTACTAGATTTTTACTATTTTAATAAAATTTGATTTATTTTTTGTAATTTTTATTGGAAAATAAATAATTCAAAATTTGTTTTTTTAGCATTTCAAAAAAATGTTCTTATGTTATAATGTTTGATTTTCAGACAGTGTTTTCATATATGATCCAGACCCATGGTTGAACCGATAAATTCAGAGACTTTAATAATCCAATTCGGATTTAATGAAAATTTTGCTAACAACAAATTCAATAAAACCCGACAAAAGCAAATCCACAATCCGATATCGGTTGATGCACCAAAAACCCCAAACAAATCTCATATTATTTTCGATTTTCTGATTGAATAACTTAAATTTTTAAACACTAAATAAAATTGAAATTTTTGTAACTTAAACTTTGAAATTTTTATTATATCATTTGAAGAAAATGAAATAATAGTGATATATAAAACAAAATTTATTGATATTATGTGGAAAATGACATATATATAATATTTTAAATATTTCATGTATATACTCGAAATTGACATATTAATGTTATGTAGAAAATGACTTATTAAATAATATTTTAAACATTTCATGTATATACTTATATTTGTTTGTTTAATAATACTATTTTCAGGGGAGAAGGTTTCATGCCTCTTAGTGAGTTGTCTAGGATCTTCTTCTTCTTCATCTGGCATGGTCTCTCCTCCAAACTCATTCATTAGCTTCATGAAACAATGATCAATCTCTTCTTTGTCCGCTTCTCCTTTATATTCATCTCCATCCATCAGCAGCTGCACAAGAACAAAAAAACATTCTCAAAAATCCATAACAAACACTATGACAGGAAACAAAAAAAAACAATACTTACATCTCCAATTGTGGGAAATATTAATCCTCCATAAGGATCTGGAGAGCTTGAGTTATACAAAAACTGCCCATCAACTTCAAAAGCAGGAGCTTGAGGTAACAACAAACCTTCAGTATGATCAGCAGATATTCTTTGCCTTCCAATTTGCACAGTCCCCTCTCTCTGCTTATGAGTTGTTGTATGAGCCATCATCATAGACGGTTCTTCTTCTTCTTGTACAAGAGTATGTTGCTTACCAACCCGAGCCGTAAAGTCACTCCTCGATCGAGTTATTGTTCTAAGCATAGATGATGTATGACCAGCTTCAGACTTGCACATCATCTCATCAACACGCTTCTTCAATCCTTTTGCTTTCTCATGTGCCTCATCGAGCTTACACAATATCTTTCCTAGGAGATCATCGGAAGAATCTGACTCAGAAACGATACAATCATCTTCACTGCCTGTAGCTTTGCGTCCTGCACCAAAATCTAATATAATAGTAAAGATTTAGTCTAAACAGCGCATCTAAATTTGAAACACTAGAACAATGTGTATAGATCTCACCAGGAACAGGACACTGAGGTTTATTAGTTTCTGGCTTCCGCTTCTCTAAAACACAAAGTTTAGATCAGATTATTGTAGTGTAGTCACATCTAAATAAAGTAAAAAGAAAGATGCAATTGTCACATATCAGAATAAGAGAAAACATTATGGTTGGAGATATAAGCAGAAACATATGTCGTCTCTTCAAATCGTCTCCTTCCTCTCGTGAAAACACTCATCCTCTGAGTTTGATGATCACCATAATAAGGTTTCGATTTACCATCAAAGCCTTGGAGTTTCGACTTGTCTAAATCAAACTGTTTACTTTGATAGTAGCTTTGGACTTCTTTATCATGCCCTCTAGCTTGAGACTCAATTTCCTTAGCCTTGAGTTATAACCACTTACACCTCCACATCAAAGGCTGACAAAACCTACTTCACTCATCTGTCATCTTCTTCTTCCGCTGACCCAAAAGGTCAGTACCGCCACCACAAGTCTCATGTAATTGATAGTATTTGTTTAACATTGATTCAGTTTCAAAACCATTATCATCATCATCACCATCATCATCATGAGAACATAATGAATCACCAAAAGAACTCGAAGATGATTGACACAAAACATCTTCTTCTTACTCTTGAAACTCATCATTGATAAGGACTTTTAGATCCTAATTCAAATCAAAGTAGTATTTTAGATGTCAATCTAAATTCTAAGTCAATTTGAAGCAAAGAGATTACCAGTTAATGCTCAAGCTAAATGTAATCAGTTTAGTGAATGTGAAATAATTAATAGCAATACTAAAATGCAACAAGGAACAAAATTTCTCTCAATTAGTGAAGATAAGATCTATGGGATATAGGTATGTGGTTTAGGTGATCAAGTTTCAATTTAAAAGTGGTAAGCTTTCAATCAAAGTGTGTCCTTAATTCTAAACTACTTAACTAAGCAAGTTCTAGGTCTAGAAAAATATTCATTTTCTTAACTTATTCAAACACAAATGGTCATTGGTGTAAATAATTCAAGCAATTATTATGAGTATGTTTAATAACTATCTAAGGCTTCCTAGATACAAAGGTCATTGACTAAGAAGCCTTAGAGCTAAGTAGAGTTGGTTCAGACATTTAGACATACACCTTATGGCAGAAATGGCTAATGATCAAGATTAAAGAGGCTAACAATAATCAAACATTAAAATCACTCAACTACCAAAGAAACACTTAGATCTAGCACTAAACATCTTAGATCTACACTTGATCACCATAATCAACCCATCCTATGAATCTAAAATGGATCTACTCACTAATACACATGATTACCTAACAACAATGGTTTAATTGTTGGTTAAACATGATTAGAGATCAAGATTACTTAACAAACTTAAGGAAATAAGATGAAAATAAGATAAAGTTATGATCTTTCACCAAATAAGTTCTTAGTTTATGAGAAAATACAAGATAACTCAGTTTTTTAGGTCTAAAACACATTTATAGTAAGCTAAACTCGTCTTAGGTCCACCCAACAACTCTGGGCCGACCCAACTAAAGATGGGTAAAATCTGCTTTGGAGACAAGCCGCACCCTGCTCTCCGCCGCGACCGTAGCTCGCGGTTACTAGTTCAAGGAGCGTTGTGACCACCTCAGCACCGCGGTCCACACCCACAGGATTCTCTGGTCGAATCAATGGTCCTTGGCCACGGCCTGCTCTTTGCCGTGGCGACAGCCCGCGGTGAGCCATGTGGATCCCGTGCCCTTTAATTCCCGCAGTGACAGCCCGCAGAATTCTCTGGCCATACTGCTGTCGTCAAAGATCAGACGTGGACCCGCGATCACCTTCCAGCCACGGTGTAGCACCCGCTGTGAACCTGGTTTTGCACCATTCCATTCTCTTGTGAACATTTTGAGGCTCATTTGGTCTCTAAGTCTGATTAGCACTTCTCCAAACCTGAAAACACATAAATGAAATGCAATGCAATACAACCTAAACAAACTCTAAATGCATTAAAATGATCAATATGTACACCCAATGAATGATTAAAACTATGAAATTCATAAGATATCAACTCCCCCAAACTTGTCATTTACTTGTGCTCAAATGAACTTTCAAAAACAAATAGGAGAAGAGGTTTGAAGGTGGGAGCTCATAGCCAAAAGAAACACTTCCTAGTACTCAATTTAACATCCTAAAGAAACAGAGCAAATAGCATGAGCATACTCTCTTATTATACTCTTGCTTCTCTAGGCCTATCAAAACACTCTTATGCCTTTAAGAAAGATGCAATACTCATTAATCAACAAGTTCCTTCAACCAACTCTCACATTCATTCACACACACACACACACACAAGATGAAGTCTCACAAATGGGCACATGATCTCAATCATTTGGATTGGTGAGCAAAAAGGTTCATTGTGAAACAAAAAGGGTTATTATGCATTTTTTATATGGTGACTTACTCTCAAATATAGTATCTAGATCATTATGCAAAATTTATCTAAGAAAATGAGCAATTCATGCATACAATGACTTGTTCTCATCATTCTACCCCTTTCCTAAATGATATCAAGCTCTAATCTTCTTCTTTTCAAAGTTCCAAAACCCAAAGATCACCCATTTTCATCACTCACCCAATGATCACATTTTCTCTCCCATTTTTAACTAACTAGGGATTCTTTTCAACTCTTTCTCACTTAGCTCTTTATTCCTATTTTGTTTTCTTTTCTTTGCTTTTCCGTGCCTATCCCAAATCTTTTTGTTTCTTTTCTTTAAGTTCTAGAGAGATTTTATTAAAGGATTCTAGAGCTTTTATCTTTTTTCTTTTTTATATATATATCCATAGTGGTTTTCTTTTTCTTGTCCTTTTTGGTTCACTCTTTTCATTTTTCTTTTTCACTTCCCAATCCCAAGAGGAAAATCAAGCTTACAAACCCAATAACCATCCTAAGTGCTAGCTCACATGAGGTCCTAGTGCTAGCTTAAGATAAGAACAAACCATTGTCGCTCCTAATACTCTAAATATTTTGAACATGACTAGCTTTCAAAAAAAAGCCTCACTCAATCAAATTAATGTTGGCTTCAAGGAATTGTAAGGGTTTAAGGGTATGTGAGTGTCATTTGGGTTAACAAAGAGTGGTAAAATGGAATGAGATAACCCAAATGTGTATGATCCATGACTAAGTATGCAAGTGCCCATTTGCAAGAGAAATTAAGTTCATTCACTTCAAGTTCAGTTTGGAGTTGATTTCAAGAACAATGTCAATCTCAAGCAAGCAAACAAGTTTCAAAAAGAGTTTTCAAGGCTCGAAGCGTGCAAGGCTTTCAAGAAATGCTTAAGATACTTGATATGTTTAACTAGGGTATCACTTTGAGCTTTAGACAAATGTTCTATACAAGGTATTTTAAAATCATTGCTCCCAATGCATATGAATGAAACTTATATGCTCTAGACTTAATCTTAAGAAAATGCAAATGATGCAAGTACATGATTCCTTTTGTTGTTTTTGAAATTGTTTTTTTTTTTTTGGATTTTCTATGCAAATATGTGTCTACAGTGCAACTACATGATTCTTATTGTTGGTTTTATAATTTTTTAAATTTTTTGAATTTTCTATGCAAATATGTGTCTACAATGCAAGACTCTCAATGAAAGAAAACAAAATGAAACAATAGAAACTTGGTCTCTCCCCCAAACTTGAATCACACAGTCTCTTGTGTGACTTAGAATGGACGAGAGACCTAAAATAAATAAAAGCAAGAAATAAAAATAGTATTTAGAAAAAAGGTAGGAGAAGTACCTCAGTGTTCGGTGTAACCAACCTGTCCGTCCCGAGTCGGAGGTCCACTACAAGAAAACAAAGCATTTACTAGGAAATTTTACTAGGAAAATTCTTCCTCGTAAATTTACTAAGCCTTTACTAGGATCTTACGAGGAAAGCAAATTTCCTCGTAAGCTCCTCGAAAACTTACGAGGAAACAATTTCCTCGTAAGACCTTAGTAAATTTACGAGGAGCTTACGAGGAAAAAGTACTTTTCCTCG